TTTATAATGATGTCTTCAGTTTTCATAAGGCTTCCCACACCATGGTTATCGATCGATTTAGTTCTGATATCACGTCTGCTAAGACCAGTGACTTCATTCTAAAAGGTCAACATGATAGAATGAATAATTATAGATTTGATTTTTGTAGTTGTTATGGACATAGTATATATTACTTTAGAATGCATACAACTTTTAATTTTTACAAACGGGGATGAAATATAACATGGTTTATAAAGATATGAATAATGGTTTTGCTTTGAAGACCGTTAAGAGGACAACCCTATACAATTGATGAAACTATGAAAGCTCATCGACTATGTAATATAGAGTATTGTTTTAAAATTGCATAATTTGAGTACTTTAAACATTATAAATTTATATTTCATTGCACTATCTAATTTATTTGTATACTAGTATATCAAAGTACATAATAATATGTAGCATGTACTAGGTAGTACTTTTTTTTAGTGAGTTCTCAATTTGTCATTTAGAATAGGACTGAAGGTTAGCTCGGTCAACTAGTTACTCCGTATAAGCTATAGCTACTTTAATCATATGCCGCATACTTTTTGATTTGTCATACATTCTTTTTACTGAACCTTATGTTATTCTGTCCCAACATTATGATAAGAAACCCTTTTCTAAACTCCTACTTTAAATTGACAAGCTAAGATATTTACTTTAAATTTAATACTCTAAACAACATGGTCAACCTTTTATTTTAACATATTCTTACTCTTACGGCGTATTTTCGTAATTTCCCTTTTTACTTTCTTTTGATGGGTTTACTGTTTAATTAGATGCTTTTACGGGTGCATCTATAGTAAATTCAAAGGAGGCTGAATGGATTAACAATAAATAATAATGTTTTTTCGTAGGAGTATGATGCAAGGCATGTTTGATGTGACCTTTTTGATTGTCTTGTTTATAACCTTTTGAACTTGGGTGAAAAGTAATTAAAGTTTAAAATGACTTCAGGACTCAAATTTAACTTTAAGGAGGCGTTTACTTCACCGGTTATTAAACGATGCTTATTAAGACCCGTGTTAATAAGCAGTGCATAAAATAAACAATGTTGTAAGACTGTGTTTACTTCAAACGGTTTAAAACACCGCTTAACATTAAAATGTCCAAAATAACCCTATACATATATACACACACAAACATTCATGAACACAAGTATATAATATAAATGTGCACCCATACCCCCTAACCCCTTACCCACCCTACCCCCTACCCCTACCCTACCTACCCGACCCTACCCCTACCCGATCCCACCCTACCGCGACCCTACCCCCAACCCCATAGGCCCCTACCCCCATACCCCCTTACCGCATCGACCCCACCCTGACCCCACCTTACCCTACCTTACCCCAACCCCGCCCCTACCCCTACCCTACCTTACCCCGATTACCACTACCCTACCCAATCCCACCCTACCCCTACCCTACCCGACCCCACTCTGCCACAACCCTACCCCCGACCCCACCGCACCTACTCTGCCCCTAGCGCCTCTATCACATTGGCCCCACCCCGACCCCATCACCCCAACCCCACCACCCTAGGTATAGGGTGGGGGTAAAGGGTGGGGTCGGGGTATATGGTGGGATGGGGTAGGTGGGGTAAGAGTATGGTGGGGTGACTGCGGTCAGGTAGTGGTAGGGTGGGTCGGGTAGGTAAGGTAGGGGTGGGGTTGGGTAGGTGGGGTAGTGGTAGGGTGGGTTCGGGTAGGTAGGGTGGGGTTCAGGCGGGGTATGGGGTAGGGTCAGGGTAGGGGTAGGGTGAGGTCGGATAGGGTAGGGGTGGGGTGGGGTTCAGGCGGGGTATGGGGTAGGGTCATGGTAGGGGTAGGGTGAGGTCGGATAGGGTAGGGGTAGGGTGGGGTTGGGTAGGTGGGTAAGGGGTGGGGTAGGTTTGTGGTCTGGTAGGTAGGGTAGGGGTGGGGTCTGGTAGGTAGGGTCTTGGTAGGGTGGGGTCGGGTAGGGGTAGGATGGGGTAGGGTAGGGGTAAGGTGGGGTCAGGTAGGTGGGGTAAGGGTAGGGTGGGGGTCGGTTAGGTAGGGTAGGGGTGGGGTAGGTAAGGTAGGGGGTAGGGGTGGGGTAAGGGTAAGGGTAGGGTGGGGTCGGGATAGAAGGTGTAGGGTAGGGGTGGGGTAGGTGGGGTCGGTAGGTAGGTGGGTCAGGGGTAACAATAGGGTAAGGGCAAGGGGTAAATTCGGAAACTGAAAAAGCTTAAAGTGCCGCTTAATTAATACATGGGGGTGTGGTAGGCTTAGTAAGCGGCACTTTAAGCACCTATTTCGGTTAGTAAGCGGCTTTTTAAGCAGCGTGCGTGTTTACTTCACCTGTCTTACTAACCTAACTGTGACTTTAGCAGCGAAGTAAACGCCCCCTAAGACTTTAAGTACCTTACCTTTGGAAATAGTGTTACAACCTAAGTTTCACAATTAATTAATGAATGATTACAAAAAAGTACCAAAGTTAATAAATACACAAATTTTCAATCAATTGCGATTTAATAACACGTAACTACACCAAACGTTTCTTTTCAAATTATCAATAAATAATTATCAATAAATAATTATTGATAATTATCAATAAATAATTATCAATAAATAATTATCAATAAATAATTTTCTCACCCCAAACTTTATTACTTTTCTTTAACCAAATAATTTGTTGTCATTGTAAGTTTTTCTCATTTATATAAAATTTAATGACACAATTTTCACTTTGTTATTTTTCATCTTGTTATAAAATACTCCATACTTAACAACACACCTGAGATCTGTGGACCATTCCAATTTCCAAATATGGGATTGGCCTCTGGGGCTCTGCATAAAGCGGGTGTCCTAAAGTTATACTACGTAGTTAGATACTTGGTACTTCAGAGTTCAGATGTACTCATGTACACAGCGTGCATTTAATGGAAGGTTGACTGTATTAAGTTTCCAAAATGGGCCTCAAAGTAGTGCGCCTTATTAGTTATATTGTTTTTTTTTTTTAAATTATTTGGAATATGACCAAAAGATGTGGTCATTCTTAAAACATTAGTAGATAGCTCTTTATTTCTAAATTATTTGGTTTTATGCATGATATACATTTTTATCTTATATTTTTCTCTCTTGAATTCAATTTTTATTCATATAGAATCATGTTAAATTTGCTAGTTATGTGTTAGGAATCCATGAATGTTTTAGTCATATTTAAGTAAATTTCCCTAGTTTTTGTTAAAATGGTTGAAATAGATCCTTTAACATTTTATTTTCACAATTATGGAGTATAATTTATCACTCGTTCCGTTCTTTATTAAGGATTACATCAGGATTTTCATGGTCTTTAAAAAGAAAATTGTAGAATAATGTATAGTGTATAATGTTTTGTCTTATAGTTAATGAAAATAGGAAATATAATGTATTAAGAAAAATAATTAATTGAATGGAAGAGAAAAGAAGAGAGAAATGAGGGTTCAGGGTAGTGGGGGAATTAAAAAATATATTAAATGATTAAAGGGAAAAATAATTAAAATAGTATTAAAGGGGTGTGAGATGAGCACCCCAAACTTGCATATGTAATTTAAAAATTACATATATAAAAAGTTATTTTAGTACCACAGTTAAGTATTATTTTCTTCAAAAATATAAATTTATGTTGTTAATTGTATAATTTAAAATATTTTAGAATTCATGAATACACAATCAACATTCTAAACTTTCATATTGAAATAAATAATGTTACCCCTAATCTATATAATTGCAACACTTTTAATTTTCTTTTTAAATTGTGCAATTTACCCCATAAATTTACATTTTTGAAAGAAATAATACACGACGATGGTGCAAAATTACTTTTATATAAAGTTTGAGGTATTTAAATTACATGTGCAAGTTTGGGGTGTTTATCTCACACCCCTTCAAAGTTCGGGGTATTTTTATTATCTTTCCCATGATTAAATGAGGATAGTAAAAGCTAGTATGTGGAGACATTGTTATACAAAAACTTACTAATTACAATATGTGGGAAAATAAATAATAAATGAAAAAAGTTCAGTGATATTATTGTTCAAAAAGTGATGAACAAAAATGTGACTTAATAATTGAAGTGACTATAACCGTGCTCAAAATTAGTATGATAATAGCTTCAATAATAATTATAATCACTAAAAGTTACTACGTACTAAATTACTCCGTACATTTTTGTGTATTCAGTTAAATGACTTTTTTTTATTAGTAATATTTTAAGAAAAATTTCATCATAAAAAATCTTCCAAAAAGGAATAAACTGAAAGAGATAAAGAAAGAATAGAATATTTGTATATTGTAAATTGACGTTGAGATTTTTTTTGAAAGGATAAATTGAAAGCCACTCAAATAATTAAACCTAACTATAAAAATTTCACGGAATTTGACCACTCAAGTCATTAAAAGCCTTTTGGAATGTACTGTAGAAGCTCATTTGGTAGCTTCTATTTTGGCTTATCAATTTATATATTAGCTAACTTTTAATACTCCATCCGTTTCGATTTATTTTACACAGTTTGACTTGTCAAGAATTAAGGAAAAAAATTTATTGAGGGGGTAAATTTTACTGTTCTGACACTGTTTGAACAATGTTTGACACTGTTTGACACTGTTTTGCACTGTTTTGGTAAAGATTTGTTTACCAAATAAGGAAATAAGAAAATGTGGCATTCATTTTGAAACGTCCAAAAAAGGAAAATGTGTCAAACAAACTGAAACGGAAGGAGTAATAAATACTTCCTCAGACCCTTAAAACTTTATAAACTTTCTTTTTTTTGGATGTCTCACTAACTTTGTCATTTTCCATTTTAAGTAAACAATTTGTGATTCCAGTTAATTTTTTCTTCTCTACACAAATCTTAACCGCACAGTTTTTACTTTATTAATTTCCAGGACGGTCAAACTTGACAAAGTCTTAAGACCGATGCCAATTTATAGCTACACTTTTTTTGTTACTTTGCCTGTATTTATTGTTGGGATTGGAAAATTCTTCTATTCAATATCAAGAACAGAATTACAATAGGAGGAGCAAACTCTCACACTCAACTATTACAAAAAACCAATCCTCACCAATACACTTCTACTCTAAGTGTATTTCACTCTTCACACACTTTTCTCACTTTCTAAACTGATACTATGAACAACAATAGAACACTCTATTTATAGGGCTGGTTTGGAGACATGAGGAAGTTGCATCCAAGCTTCCTAGTTATCTCCATATCTTCTCCCACACCTATTTGTTGGAGACCTCCTTCCAAGAAGGTGTGAGATGCCTCTTGGCAACTTCCAAGAAAGAAGGTGGAAGATACCTACAAATCTCCCCCTCCACCTTTTTCTTTATTTCTCTCGTTCCTGCAATGCTCGCAGGCTCCCCCTCGCTAACAAGTATCCATTCGGATGTGGAATACTTTCTCTGTGGAACTATGCCTCGCATAGAACGTCGAACATGAATACCTTCAGCTTCGTCTTCAGATGAAGGCTCCCCCTGCTGAGGAATATCATCACTGTGAGTATCATCATCACCTACTGAACCATCACTCTCTTGTTCAGTAGTATCATGCATCTCCTCGTCGCTGAGAGGAATGTTTGATGATACAGGCACTTCGTCTTCTGGAGTATGTTGTTGGCGGATTATTGGAACACACCCATGAAACTCGTTTTCATGAAATACAACATCTTTGCTTCGTACAACTTTCTTCACTTCGGGATCCCACAACCGGTATCCGAATTCTTCATCACCATACCCGATGAAGATGCATGGGTTTGACTTGAGATCCAGCTTCTGTCTCAACTCCTTGGACACATGTGCAAATGCCTTGCACCCGAACACTTTTAAGTGAGAGTAAGAAACATCTCTTCTTGACCATTTCTTCTCTGGCACTTCAAAGTTTAAAGGAACAGAAGGTGACCTGTTTATAAGATAACAAGCTGTCAGCAAAGCTTCACCCCAGAATGGCTTAGGTAGTTTAGCCATACTCAGCATGCAGCGAACTTTCTCCATAATGGTCCGATTCATTCTTTCGGCTACACCATTGTGCTGTGGAGTTCGTGGAACCGTCTTCTCATGTCTGATTCCATATGCCGCGCAATATGCTGAGAACTCCCGAGAAGTGTACTCTCCTCCATTGTCTGAACGCAGGCACTTCAGCTTCTTCCCTGTTTCTCTTTCTACCATGGCATGAAATAATTTAAAGCGATCAAACACTTGATCCTTACTCTTCAAACAATAAGCCCATACCTTTCGTGATGCATCATCAATGAATGTCACGAAATATCTGCTTCCTCCAAGTGACTCCTCTTCAATGGGTCCGCATACATCAGAGTGTACAAGACTGAGTAACTCTGAATGGTTCTTCCTGGTAGAACTGAAGGAAACCTTATGTTGTTTCCCGAATAGACAGTGCTCGCATGGATCTAGGGCAACACCTTTGCCCATGGAAATGACTTCCTTCTTTGCAAGAGTTGTCAATCCCTTCACGCTCAAGTGGCCTAGCCTTCGGTGCCACAAGGTTGGTGATATCTCTTCTTCAACAGCATTAAGACTTGGATGACACAACTTTGCATGAGTTTTATAAAGAGTACCACAAATATGGCCTCTTGCAACAACCAAGGAACCTTTAGATAACTTCCACGTACCTTCTTTGAATCGGTTAAGATATCCTTGCTGATCCAGAGCTGTACCAGAGATAAGATTCAATCTAAGATCCGGAACATGTCGAACATCTTTCAACACAAGTGCGCATCCGACATTGGTTGTTATGTGCACATCACCAATGCCAACAATCTTCGAGAAACTGGTGTTTCCCATCTTCACAGCTCCAAAGTCCCCGGACTTATAAGATGTGAATAAATTCTGGTGTGGAGTGGCGTGAAATGATGCAGCTGTATCAATCACCCACTCATCATCATGAGTACCTACGTGTAAACATTCTTGTTCACCATGTGTAACAAGACACACGTCTGATGACAAACTAACCATGGTCTCACCATCATCTTGGCTAGTATTTTGACTCGTCTGTGGCTGCTCTCGTAGAAACTTTCTACAATCTCTTTTTCTGTGCCCATAATTACTACAGTAATTGCAATATCCTTCAAACCAAGTACTGTTTTCAAAGGACATACCTCTCTCTTGTGATCTGCCGCGAACTTGAGAATTTCCTCTGTTTTGACCTTGGCCTCTACCTCGACCTCGAGTTCTTCCTCCATTTCTGCCTCCCCCTCGTCTGCTGGTTTCTGACACGAAGGCATATGATTGTTCAGTCCCGGCTTCTTTTCTTCGGGCTTCTTCGTTCATAAGGGCATCTGTGACCATCTGCATAGTCACTTTGCCATTGGGAGCAGAATTGCTGAGAGTGACAACAAGAGTCTCCCAGCTGTCAGGTAGAGAGCTCAAGAGTAGTATCGCCTGTTCTTCATCTTTGAGAACCCATCCGGTGGTGCTCAACTGATTCACAAGATCCTGGAATTGACTGGTGTGTTCTGACACCGAAATACCTCCTCGTAATTTGTGGTTTACTAATCGCCTCATTAGTAAAGTCTTATTTCGTGCGGTTTTTGCTTGATACATGCTACCAAGCTTCTCCCATAGTGTGTAAGCACTTTGTTCTTGCGCAACATGGTGGAACACACTATGATCAATCCACTGTCGAATTTGTGCGACAGTTTTTCTATTCATTTTTGTCCATTCTTCATCCGTCTTTTTATCCGGTTTCACGCCATTATTATCAAGAGGATCAGCTAAATCCCTCAAATTTAGCAAATCCTCCATCCGAGGCTTCCACATATTGTAATTTGTGGAAGTGAGCGCAATCATGGTGTCCGATGATGATTTATCCATAATAAAACGCTCAAAATATCTCGTACCTTATTTTCGGAGCCGAATTTGGACAAACGGAGCTCACCGTTGGATCCGGAATGGCCGAAAATGGTAGGAACCGGTCTGACCTTGTCCAAAACCGGTCCGAAAATGGGTGAACCGGCCTCCACAAGTACGAACCGGTTCGGTCCGGTTCAGGCAGCAGCCCAGTGAGCAGACCAGCAGGCGGATGACGTGGCAACAGCTGGCTCTGCGCTGGCGCTGACGTGGCGCCACGTGTCACTGACGTGGCGCTGACATGTCGCTGACGTGGCACCTAGAGATGGCTTGCACGGATGACGTGGCGGATGGCGTGGCGCTTACGTGGACTGACGTGGCGGCTGACGTGGCGGCTGACGTGGCTCGTCTTCTTCCTCTGGACTGCGTGATGACGCAATGATGACGCAGGCAGTTTTCCGGCGCGTTTGGACGGCGCGTACGGCCTCTTCCGGTGGCCAAAAAATTCCCAAAAAATACCAGATTTCTCGTCTCGACGAGACGAATCTAACGGTATGATCAGATCGTGATTCCGAGCAACTTGAAAAATCACGATTTTCTAACCTGTAGAAATTTATCTGAAAATAAGAAAACAGTGTATGAAAACTCAACCTCGCTCTGATACCACTTGTTGGGATTGGAAAATTCTTCTATTCAATATCAAGAACAGAATTACAATAGGAGGAGCAAACTCTCACACTCAACTATTACAAAAAACCAATCCTCACCAATACACTTCTACTCTAAGTGTATTTCACTCTTCACACACTTTTCTCACTTTCTAAACTGATACTATGAACAACAATAGAACACTCTATTTATAGGGCTGGTTTGGAGACATGAGGAAGTTGCATCCAAGCTTCCTAGTTATCTCCATATCTTCTCCCACACCTATTTGTTGGAGACCTCCTTCCAAGAAGGTGTGAGATGCCTCTTGGCAACTTCCAAGAAAGAAGGTGGAAGATACCTACATTTATTTGATCTCAATTGGTGTTCCTTAATGCTGCTACAAACCAAGTAACTCTCTTTTGATTAACCATTATTATTATAGGAAGCGGGTTCAAGTCACTTAAACCATTCCGGTCGGGGTATTTTGGAGCATCCATTAAGCTTCAATCTGGTTACACTGCAGGAACCAACACAGCCTTCTACGTGAGAATTATTCATTTATTTGTTAATTAGAGTAACTTACGCTACACAAATATACCAGATTGACACGGATTTGACAAGAATTTACAGATAATTTCGAGCCAAATAGCTTGTGGCAAACTGTTCTTGGAACGGATTTCCAAAAAAATCTCCGCCAATTTTGGAAAATCTCTGTAAAAAATCCCTGCCAATCTCATGTTTTTTTATTGTAGTGTAATTACTTATTATAGTAATAATGTTAATTGTTCAATTGCGTAAAATTCATATATATGTAATGTAAATCATATATGGCTGGATTGTTGAAATTGGGCTGCAGCTGTCAAATGCTGAAGTTCACCCTGGGTTCCATGATGAAGTGGACATGGAGTTTCTTGGAACCACATTTGGGAAGCCATATACATTGCAGACCAATGTGTATGTGAGAGGAAGTGGGGATGGAAATAGTATTGTGGGCAGAGAGATGAAGTACCATTTGTGGTTTGACCCTACAGCCGATTATCATCACTATGCTATCTTTTGGAGTCCTAGAGAGATCATGTAAGCACTTCAACTTGTGTATACTCTATTGATTATATTCAATGCTACCAAAGGCGTAGCTCACTGGTCTGGTTGGAAGAGGGTGACACCAGAGAAAGTTATCGATTCAACTCTAAGCAAAATCTTGAGATGAAACTCCACTTTCTTTCTATCGATGTGTGCAAAAAATAAATAAAAAATCATATTATTTCTTTAGCTTATGGTAATTACAAAGAGGGAAAATGAGCGAATAGACTCTCGAACTATTAGCTTATTCTGCAATCAGACTCCTGGATCCGTTTGAAATAAAGCAATCAAACCCTTTTTAGTTGGTGGTGACGATAACTTATCACAAAAAAGTTACCGCCTTACCGTCACCAGCAGGTAACATACAAGAACTCAATTGATTTATTTTAATAGGTCAATGGGTGTATTAGTAAGATATGGATTTCGATTCAGAAGCCTTTTTGCAGAACAAAGGATCTATTTGCCCCTTTTCTCTTAAGCCGTTTAATGTCATCAAGCATGAGTTGTTTTTATCAATAAATTAAAGTGTTTGAAACATGACTGTTTTTAAGGCTATGAGTAGTAGTGTGTCATGGAATGTACCTAATTTTGTACATAACTTCAAATGATTTTTTTGTTTGATTTCTTCGACAGTTTTCTTGTTGATGATGTGCCAATAAGGAGATACCGTATGAAGAGTATTGCCACATTTCCACGAAGGCCGATGTGGATATATGGATCCATTTGGGATGCATCACCATGGGCAACTGAAGATGGAAAATACAAGATAGATTATCGGTATCAACCGTTTGTCGGGAAATTCAAGAATTTCAAAGTGAGGGGGTGCACCGCCTATGCACCGCGGTGGTGCCGGCCTGTGTCTGCCTCACCATACCCCTCAGGCGGCCTTACAAGGCACCAAGGCAGGGCATTGAAGTGGGTTAAGAGTCACTACTTGGTGTATGACTATTGTAGTGACCACAAGAGAGATCATTCTCAAACTCCGGAATGCTGGCTTTAAACATAAATTAGTTTATTTGTTGCATTTATCACTCAATATATATATGTTTCATTTGTTGAGAGTCAAAGAATTATGATAATACTATGTACATAATAAGGAAATGAAAGTAAAAAAGTCAAGTGGCACTCGGCCCCCTTTTTACTTCAATTCAATCACCCGTGCATTGCACGGGATGAAAACTGCATATGGTATAAATGCTAACATTTAAACGTAATTATATATCATATTATTGTTTTATCACGCGAATGTGAGTAACCCATAAACAAATAAATAATACGGAGTAAAAAATACTAAAAAAGTTTAATAATAAACACATTTTACAAAAACTTCATTTTGGACAACATTATTTAAACTATTTCATAAGAATATTAGAATTAGGTAAGGCCTTTAATTTTGAATATCACATTTGATTCCTTGAAAGTATCTTCTTGCGGTGTAATTCAAAAATATCTCTCTATAGTGCTCTTTTATCGGCACTTCATGCATTGGGTAAAACTGTAAAAGTTTGATAAGGAGTAGAAAAGATTGGATTCTTAAAAGTTGAGTATCTAAACCACTCTCTCATGTTTGGTAAATGGTGTTTCAGCCAAAAATTGACTGGTTTGACCAAAATATGTACAAGGATTAAATTAGGTGTAATCATAGAGATTCGATGGTCCTATCTCAAGTTCAACCCTTGAGATAGATGCATGACTTGAACGGTTAATTTGAAGAACAGCCTTAAGGTTGATGAACAATTTATTACATGCTACAATATTCAATATGTAGATCTAAACGATTAAATTTAGTATTTTCGCACTGCAAATCTAATCGATTAAACTTACTATTTTCTTTGTTCTTTTCTTTTTTCAATTATACCCGCCGTAGTGCCGTACTAAAATGATTGAGGCAGAATCCATCTTACGGAACAAAAATGGTTGTGCTTATTCTCTGAAAAAGTTTATTTGAATTCGTCATACGGACTCACGGATGTATTGTCATAGCAATTAAGTCCTTAAGAAACAACAGAGCTCAAGAAACACAATGTTTTTCTTGAGAAGAATAGGAAAAGCTAGGAAGAATACGAAAGGTAAACTAGGCGATTATTTATTTATTTAGATCCGCTAACTGAAAACGCTCCTCTCAGTAGCATAGTGTTTTTGTTTTTGCCATTTTGGACCAAAACGCTATACTAACCCGCCAATTGCCAAACACCTAATTTGAGCGTTTTGATTGATTAAAAATGTAATCAAGATATGTACAAGGATTAAATTTTGACCAAAAATTGGCTGGTTTGACCAAAATATGTACAAGGATTAAATTTTCGCATGAATCCTTCTCAAGATCAAATATGTACAAGGATTAAATATTATTTTCGAGAAGGATTAATAGATCAATTTTGTTATTTCTCAATATGTAGATTAGTATTTTCGCATGAATATTGCAAAATTTAATCAATCTACATATTTTAATACATTTAGTTATTTCAAAAAATTTAATCAATCTACATATTGAATATTTAATCAATTTTGTTATTTCGCATGAATCCTTCTCAAGAAAATGTGGAAAACGAAGCTAGTGAATTGAATGAAAAATATACTTGTGGTTATTAATAGGTATTTTTATATTTGATTTTCCAATCACATAAGCATCAAATGCATGGTCATTTTAAGCAAAAAATAAAAGATCAAGAGACCAGATTTTTTATTTCCACGATGTTTGGCACTAAGCTTTTAGGTGATCTAGATTGAATATATGTGTTAATATAAGAGTAAAGGGATTTTTACTTAGACACACCGAACTAATTTCCAGCAGCAGTTAGACATATAGAACTACATTTCATTGTGTGATAAAAATGCAGCAAATTGTTAATACAAATATGTTTGAATAGGTAGCCTGTGACAAAATATAATGCATCTTGAGCAAAAATTAATTAAGAATATTTTAATGAATTTAATTTCCCTATACACATCTTGGTAGCAAGTAATTTGTTTTTATATATATTTGTCCATTTCACTACAATTTACATTTTTCAAACATAGCTTAAATATCTCCATCCAAATGGAAAACTTATGCCCCGGCAGTGTATAAACACAAGTTCAAAGAGAAATTAAAAGCAAAGATATCAAAATAAGAATCAAGAAAGCCCAATAAGATTTTAAAACCCAATCTTGAAGACTTGAGCCAATATCAGCTTTCTTCACCTGAGCATTTTATCAAACATCATATGTGCAAAATATACCTATACCTATAAAAAGTATATGGGTATAGCTGCATATTCAGTGATATAACCTCACAATAGGGGGCGGATACACATACATCTTAATGGGGACACTTGCCCCCAATAACCTCTCAATAAATCAGCACACCCATTATAAAAAATTAATAATAGGATGCTTTGCCCCCAATAAAAATATGCCATTGCCCCCAATAAAAATATGTCATTGCCTCCGATAAAAAGCAAATTTGATTAGCCCACATAGTCACATAGCACATCAACATACTCCGTATTAATGTTTTATAAAACATTATTTTCTAGCTCATCAACATAGCTCATCATTTTCTTTAATTGTAAACTTTAACTTCATACACATGGAATAAAATGTACTTCATCTATTTCTAAATAAACCACTTGTTTATCCACCTAAATTATCTCACATTTTTACTAAGAGATAGTGTGTGATTAAAAAGTTTAATATGATTATGACTAAAATTAATGCATTTATCACCATGATCAATAATAATTTACATCAAAATCTAAAAATATTTTATTTATTTATTATAATATGGCCATACACTCACTTTAAAAATTACAAATATTAAATTACTCTAGCAGAGTACATAGATTGAGTATATAGGTAGTATGTCATAATTTTGTCTCTCTAATGTTGTCTTTAAACATCAAACACTTCTCGATGAGGTGGTTTATCCTAACCCCTAATAATTCAATATCATCATTAACAAAATTGTATAATTGTATATTGGTTTTTAGTTCAATATAACTTATATTTCTACTTGTATTTCATTAACAAATTCATTAGTTTAATTTCTTTTACCATTTAATTTCTTATATGATTTCCTAATAACTAAATATGAACTCTTTTCGTCGATGAAATTTAATTGTAATACTCTACTGAAAAACTCTATTAAAGTCTGCACTCTTATTAATTTACTTTTGGTGAAATTAGCAAAAAATTAATTTGCACATCATTAACATATAAATAAGAAAAATGAAAAGTGATAACATACGAAAAATAAATATATGTGAAGATATCATCAAATATTTAATACTCCCTCTATCCCACTATGATTGTCTCATTTTATCTTTTCGTTCTGTCCCACTAAGATTGTCGCATACCTTATTTGGTAAAATTTGTGTGGTTCTAAATCATTCTTACTTTATTCTTACTTTATCAATTCAATATCAACCACATAAATCCACTTTTATTAATAACCGTGTCACTTTCTCTTGTCCCAAACTTAGGGGGACGGAGGTAGTACTTTATTAGGAGTTCAAAGTTAAAACCACCCTTTACCAACAGAAAGATAGCCTCTTATAATTATTTTTTATTATTTGTTCCTGAATACCATTTCAAAAATCATAATTTTATATTAAGTTCAAGAAGCTGTACAAAAAAAATACTCCGTATATATTAAGTTCAAGAAGTAATGTGTGTAATGGTACTCTTAGTACACATTCAAAATCTATACTCTATACACATTTGTTTATAAATCAAACCAAAATCTTGCCCCCAATAACCTTTCGGGCTGGATCCGCCACTGACTCATATAACCACATACTATCGAATATCGATAATAACATAGCTTCTTAATTCAATTAAAATGAACATTAGTCCATGAAAATAAAGGAACCCACTTGTTCGATAAACTTAATTCAAGAGAACTAAAGAAACTTTATACAAAATATAATAATGAAACTTCATATACAAGTATTTGTCAGTTTAAAACCTCAATGAATCTGGAAGCCATGAATGTGTGAAAAGACCATACTTTGGAGAAGGTTGTTCATATATACGCCATGGATAGGATGGCCACGCAGGGGAAGATCGGAAGTGAGTGTTGCTGGAGAAGGTTTGAAAAACTGCAAGGTATGAGTATGACAGTTTTGAAGGGAGAAATGTGAAGCGTTCATGTCCCAATTTTTGCTGCGGCTAACATTAAACTAAAAAGAAACTGAAAAACGGATGTAACCGAAGAACAAAATCAGGAAAACCCGCAGGTGGCCTTTGAAATAGCTTAATTGATTGTATTTTAATACTTCAGGGACTTAATTGATTCATTTTAAAGTACGAGGACTTAATTGACTTTTTCGTAAAAGTACAGGGACCTATTTGACAGTTTTCCCTAAAATAAATTATACTACCCCCACTCTATACAATTGCAGCATATTTACATTTTTGAAAAAAATAATTTATATTTTTTAAAGAAATAATATATGATCATAGTGCTAAAATAACTTTTATATAAAGTGTGGGCTATTTAAATTGTTTATGAAAGTTTGGGGTGTTTATCTCACACTAATTTAAAGTTTGGATTATTTACTTACTTTTCTAATAAGAATATGACAAGAGAACAACTTCTCAATGATACGAGTAGTTGGTAACTGCAAATTAAAAAAGTAACATTCACAAATTAAAAAACATAAAACTTACACTGACTCTGTTTCAGGAAACTTTACTAACTTTCCTTTTTCGGTTATCTTAAAAACTTATACTCCGTCTGTCTCAGAAAAAATTATACGAAGTTTGAGAAAAAACTAAAATGGTTGGTAAGTTTGATAAACTGTAAACATGGAGCACCAAAGGGTCCCTATATTTCCCGTGCAACACACGGGCTTATCGTCTAGTGTGTGTGTACACACTACGGGTATATATACAGCAAGGATTACATATACCTATTTTTCTGCCCACAACATGAGTGAATTAGATTAATAAATCACAAACGTGTACTAAATAAATAGGAAAACTAGTCACATTTACTTTGTGGGATTGTAGTCCATATGATTTCAATTTGCAACAATTCAATTTGAAAATCATCAAAAGTTTCGAAGTTGTAATTAGAGAGCATCAAATTGATGAAGGGAAAATGGAAACTAATAATCCAACCTTTTAACGGTATTCTTATCATAGTCCCACCTTTTCGTTATTCAAGAGTAATCCAACATTTTCACCCCATCTTCATTCGCTGGTCCCTGACCGGTTAATGACCTGCTATTCCAAGTTATTTTCTTATCTTTGTATTGC